ATCATTGGTCATTTCTTTCCTTTTCATGTACGACTAAAGTTATATTAACTCGCCTCTACAACTTGTATGACTACATCGATACATCAAGACAACACATTGTGAAAGACCAAAAATAATATGTTAAATATTAGTGTATTTTTTTCATTTGGTAAAAGTTTAACAAAGTTTTTTTTCTATTAGTTTAATATTTATTTTCACATGTGAAATTTTATTTGGTTTAACCAGTAAACCGAACCAAATAAACAGTAATCGAATTAACCAAAACCGATTAAACCGAATCTTATTTGCTTTGGGTAAGGTCAGTATTAAGATATAAAAAACCGAAAAAACCAAAGAGATTAAACCGAAAAAAAGCCGACCAAATAACACTCCTAGTTTTCTCTCTCTATTCTTCTATTTATTAGTTAGTTGTACATCATGCTTTAAAACTTGTACCAAATTATGTTTGTATGCTTTTAATTAGGTTATGAATTAGTTTTGTATCTAATGTTTTGTTACTTAATTTTGAATGATTTTAATTAGGATTAATGTAACTATAGTCCAACTAGTTTTAATGTTTTGTTTTAAATGGTCCCTTATGTCAACTAATTTTCATGTTCAGTTTTTACCTTTTTAAACAAGACATTCCCTTGCAATTAGGCCTGACAATCGTGTCGTGTTCGGGTTGACGTGTCACGGGTTGGCGGGTCAAAATATGTCAACCCAAACACGACCCATTTAAATATACAGGTCACGGGTTGGCGGGTTTGGAACATAAACTCATATATGACCCGCCAACCCATTTATTTATACGGGTTCACTGGTTGGCGGGTTCGTGAGTCAGATTTGGGTTCGTGGGTCAGATTCCATAAATAAAATTGACAATTAAATATGAATAAATTCTTGATGGTTGATGCAAACATATCCGAATTTTAGACATTTAAGTCTTAAACATCCAAATGAATATTTAAAACATTCATAGACACATGTTCAAACTAAACATTAATACAAACATAGATAATTCAAGTGCTAAAGTAATTTATTATATAATACTTATTAAATATTAATACTTGATACATAAATTTATTTAAAAATAAAATAATTTTTTTTATTAAATATATAAACGAGTTGGCGGGTCAACCCGTTTATTTTTTTGAGAAACCCTTATATGACCCATTTAATAAACGGGTTGGCGTGTTGGCGGGTTAGTGATGGGTTTTGAGCACTACAACATTCCTATGGTGTACATGCAAACCCTAAAGTTTTGGATCTAGTTTGTCTAATGAACATGCAATAATCATCCAAAGCCATAAACCCTAGATCTAACATGTGATAATCAATATTAACATAAAAATAGGGTTTAGATCATACCTTGATTGTTATGTAGTAATAACAATCTATTCCTTCTAGTAATTGGCTTCTAAAAGCTTAGAGTCACAAATGTCACTCCTCTAATGGCTCACAAACACCAAGAGTAAGAGGATGAAGAAGGAGAGGAAGAGAGGCACTCAAAAACGTCTAGAAACCCTAAGGAATCAGTTGGCCACGTTTTTGGTGCCCTAGGGGTGCTTAAAAAGTGAGGCTATTAGGGTTATCTAACAAGGAAACCCTAATTTGATTGCTTAGGCCCTAAGCAACCCATGGACTCCTTCTTTAGAGGCCTTGGACGATTCTACTGGGTTTCCCCATAGAATTCGTCCACCCCTCTAATAAGAAGTCCATTAGCCCAATATTCAACTATTACACAATTGATAGTTCTAGTCCCCTAAGTTTAATTAATCTCTTTTAGCCACAAAATTAATTTTTAATTAATTATTGACTAATATTAATTAAACAATATGATTTCTCCTTTAATATATTATTCTCATAATATATTAATAAATCATAATTAATCTCTTTCTCCATAAATCATCCTATCAAGTTGCTTTGGTGAAGACAACCCAAAAGGACTATGCACCATCGGGTCAAGTACATACCAAAATAGTTATGGACTTAGACACTAATTCAACAGTTAGCGGGTTGGCGGGTTGAAAAACTCAACCCAAACCCATTTATTTCGTGTCGTGTTGCGGATCGTGCCGCAGGTTGTGTCGAGAATTGCCAGCCCTAATTGCAATTACAGGTTTACTTTATGATGTGGTTTTTAAACTAAAAAAATTTAACTAAAATCCATCTCATGTAACATCTTGAAGAATTCGTGTCTCTAATAATAGAACCCTAAAAACCACAGACTCCACACCTCCGCCATTCCCTTTTCTAATTCAGTTATAATACTTCTCAGAAGTATGAGTTTATTTGTGCGACTTTGATGATCTCTTTCTGAAATACCTTCACCTTTAATCGATTGATCAAGGACTTTTGGAAGAAGGACCTTCTTAGTTGTTTCTCGTACAATCTCGATGACAAACATCTTTCAGTTTTCATACTCTTGATTCATAGTATCAGGTGCATTGCAAGATTGTTTTTCTTTGTCTACTTGTTGCTCTAATTCATACACCGATTCAACTACTAGATCAGAATCAGACATCAATGCAAGATTGTTTTTCTTTGTTCTTTGCTTTAACATCAGCAAACCTACCTGATTTTTGTTCTTCTTGTCTTGTTGACAATCAAGTTACCTTATCATCCATCTAAAGGTTTAAACTTCCATCTTTTTATTGCCATCAACACCGAACATGATATTAGCCAGATCTGCATCATCAAGACCAGAGCTTGATTGAATGTGCTCTGATCTTGTTTTACCGTAGAACTCAATAGAAAATCATCATCCTCTTTGATAGCTTTTTCGTTCTTCTTGATTTATCAGGTAGTTATCATTCAGGCGACGCAAAATTGTTGATTTTGTGAAAGGTAAACTTGGAAAAGAAGTGAGTATCCATTCCAAATCCACCCCCTGATTTCTTCTCCGCGAAAGAGTCGTGAAACAAGTCATCGATATTAATAATGAAATACCCCTGAATGTGATTATACCCACAGATTTAGAGGAATTACTATTGTAAGAATTAAGGCCCAATGATGGAGTATCTGAACAAACGGACACATGATAGTTCTTGAACGGCCTAAATTTGGAAATTAAAAAAAAATCATTCAAAAATCAATTCTTCTAGAACAAGATATGGGGTTTGAAGACGACGGATCGTGATGCAGAACACAAATCTGATCTATGTTCGTTGCGTCAAATCTACAACCGATTTTCAAGTTTAGATTTGTTTTCCAGATCTAGAATTGCGTTGTGCTTTAAATCGTCTTTCAAATCCCATATAGGTAGACGATGATGGTGGACTGGTAATGGGAGATCGATGCCTGGATGGTGGTGTTGTTGGCGGTGGAGTTTGAAGTTGACCGACTTGTGTTGAAGAATATCTAAACCACAAAACTATATAATAAAAATTAATAAATTATATAACAAATTTTAGATAGCCACGTCATTTTTATAGCTAGGTCATCTTTTTTTACCTATGAAATCGGACAACAAATGGTTTAATACCCTTTTTAGCATGTCAATAAGGAATTTATATCCTTAGATAGCTCAAAAGAAACATTAGTACCATTTAAAACAAAAATATAAGTTCATTGGGTTATAGTAACATTTTGCTATTAAGGAGGGTTTTTTCGGAATTTTTTCGGAATTATGCATGGACCATTCTTTGTAATTTTGTATTTGTAATTTTGTAGAAATACTGTGACCAATTCTAAAAATTCCCTATAAGACAGGAACCACTTATGGAATTTCATAAAACATAAGGATTATTTTTGTAATTTTGCTTAGACCGGACCATTTATGTTGATGTCTATAAGCACATGAACCATTTATAAACGAGGGACTATTTTGTTAATTTTATAAAACATCGGGTATAGTTCTATAAATTTGCTTACGCATGAACATTTTTTTATATATTTGTAGATATGCAGGGACCAATTCTAAAAATTCCCTATAAGATAGGGATCATTGAATTTCGTAAATATTACTAGTATTAAAAGAAAAGGTGTACAAAGTACAAACTAAGAATAAAACATTTTACCAAACGAAAAAATGCCGCAAAACATTGTTCTAGAATTATCTACTAACCAATACCATACATGCGAAAGGTACCAAATAAATCTACAACTTAAAAGGCCTTTAAATATTCTGTCAACCAATCTCACAATTGCACTCCTATAAAATCAATTTCCCAATTAGCCTTTAAAAGTTAAATAAAATGATTTTTTTGATTAAAATAGGGTATCAATTTAGTATAGTTTGAAAAATATTTACCAAACTAATATTTTTCTTATATATTTCAGTTTTTCTTATTACTTTCTAATTTTTTCTTTTATTTTAAATATATATTTTTTATTTACCAAACTAGAGCCATACGTGTATTTTTTTTCCTTGTCTTCGTTTCCACCCAAAATCAAAATCGAAACATCGTCTTTGTTTTCACATAAATTGAAAATCTGAAAATCTAAAAACCTTAAATCAAACATCGAATTCACTGTCTTCATCCCTCCACCCAATATAAAAAAACCCCTAAATCAAAGTAGAAGATAAACCTTAAAACCCCAAACTAAAAAAAAAAAAAAAACATAAATGCTTCTTGAGATATAGTAAGAAATGCACAATTGTTTTTGGATATACCATTCGACGGCTTTAATGAAGTGAAGATATAGACACACAAATGCACAATTGATGGGGGTTAGCAAATATTTTTCAAAATAAATATTTTTTTCAATAATCCTATTTTAATCAAAAACTCAAAATAAAAGTCCTTTATGGCACCCTTACACTCTACTCATACTTTCATAAAACCACCACATGACCAAAGAAGTGAAAGAACCAAAGTTTCGGCCAATCTCTACAAGCCCAAACTCTTAACAAGGGCCGAAATTCAACTAACGCTTTTAAGCGTGATAGATTGCTTGATCCAAACTTGAAATAAACATACAGACGAAAAAACACAAAAATAATCATTCAACGCAATCTTGTTACAATATTACATGTAACATAAGTTTACACAACGTAAAAAAAACAAAAACGATTAATCTCTCTTTATTTTGAATTTCCTGTGGTTTATTACATAATAAATGGTTCTCAGCTACTTGTGTGCTAACAAATCTGTTGCTTATGAAGTTGCCTTGAACTCCAAGTTGTATTCATTGAACAAGGAAATATTATGGTAGGCAACCTTGATTCTTCATCAACATGTGGGAAATCAATGGTGTAGTGGAGCCCACGGCTTTCATGTCTAGTCAACGCACTACTCACCACAAGTTTAGCACAACAAAACAAGTTCCTCATTTCACAAGCCTCTAACCCAACCATGGTTGGCTCCCACCCTTGTTGAAACAAGTAAGCTTCCCATTCAAGTTCAAGTTCCCCAATCCTCCGCTCCGCAGTCTTTAGCCATGTGGTGGACCTCACGATCCCAACGTACGCCCACATGATGGATTGTAATTCGTTTCTTACTTGTTTTGTTCTTTTGAGGATCTTGCTGAGAATGATGGACCCTAGTTGCATGGGAACAACGGGTGGGTCCCACCATTGTGAAACGGTTTGATGATCTATGTATGATTCTTTCATGTGTTGTATTGATGGGTTCACGGCTCTTTGTGCAAATACGAGTGCTTCTAGTAATGAGTTGCTAGCAAGACGATTTGCTCCATGTAATCCTGTGCATGCAACCTCACCTATGTAATCATGTTGACAAAGATTTTAGACCTTTTTTTTACCGTTTGAAATACATATAGTATATATTATGAACTACATGAAATATGGTCATGTGCAATTTATTTAACGATATAGCTTTATTTGATTAAAGTTTATCTTTATAAATTACGGTTAATATCATAAAAGACCTTATATTTTGTGTTTTTTCGGGATTAAACCTCAACTTTGTTTTTTTTTTTTTTTTTTTTTTTTTTTTTTTTTCTTCTGAAATAGACCTTGTATGTTTTCATTTTTTTTTGGAAAAAACCCTTAACTTTGTCCTTTTATTTTCCTGAAAAAACCCTTCAATCTTCTAACTGTTTCTGTAAAAACCCTCAAACTTTTTTATTTTTTTCTGGGTTAATCTCAAAAAATATTCTTATATTTTGTGTTTTTTCCGGATTAAACCTTAAATTTATTTTATGCCTGAAAAAGACCTTGTATTTTTTCATTTTTTCCGAAAAAACCTTCAACTTTGTATGTTTTTCTGAAAAAAAAAAACTTGAATATTCTAAATGCTTCCAAATAAACCCTCAACCTTTTTAGTTTTTCTCGAAAAAACCCTCACATTTTACAACTTTTTTGACAAAAAATGACTAAAAGGGCCAAATCACAAAAAATGAAAAAATACAAGGTTTTTTTCAGGCAAAAAATAGATTCAAGGTTTAATCCGGAAAAAACACAAAATATAAGGTCTTTTTTTTAAATTAACCCTTTTTTCTAAAAAAACCCTCCCCATTGCAACTTTTGTCCGAAAAAAAATGACTAAAAGAGTCAGATAAAAAAAAAAGAAAAAAAGCAATGTCTTTTTCAGGAAAAAATAAAATCGAGGTTTAATCCGTAACAAAACACAAAATATAAGCTATTTTATAGGATTAACCCTATAAATTAACATTTTTTTTTCTTTATGTGTCGATTTAATTTCAATTAGTTCTCTAATTATAAATCGTAACCATGTTAAATGACTCATTCCATTCCAACGAACCAAACACGTCAATGGAATGCAACGATCAATTCCATTACCTTGCTCATTCCATTACACTGTTCATTCCATTCCATCATATATTGATCAATAAAACTAATCTTATAAATATTTATTGCAAATTAAAAACCCTTACCTGCCACATAAAGGCCAAGAACATTGGTTTCTCCTTGAAGACCAGCTTTAACCCCACCACACATGTAATGAGCAGCAGGAACAACTGGAATAGGGTGGCGAGTTATATCAAGCCCATATTTGAGGCACTCAGCAGCTATGTTAGGAAAATGGGAAAGAATTTGGTCTCTAGATCTATGACTGATGTCTAGAAGGACATATTTGTCATTACGCTTTTTAAGCTGATCGTCTATGCTTCTAGCTACAACATCTCTTGGTGCAAGCTCGGCTCTTTCATCGTACATTGGCATGAATCTTTCCATGTCAAGATTATATAAAATTCCCCCATCGCCCCTCACGGCTTCCGTGATCAAGAAAGAGTTGTCCCGTGATTTGGTTGATGGGATCGGGAGGCCTTCATCTGCTAGTGCAGTTGGATGAAACTGCACAAATCTAAAAAAAAAAAAAAGGTTTAAGTTTTTAGTAGAATCTTATTTTCAAGTCCCCATTTGTTTATACTGCGTTTGACATGCATTGGACTGGGACTAGGATCCCAACGAAAAATTGGAATTTAAAATTCCGACTTTTTGTCCGATCCAAAATTGCAACATTTTGCCATACCCAAAAATTGCAATTTTTTTGTGCCACTCAAAATTTACAATTTTTGACCCACCAAAACAACTACAATTTGTCTTATCCAAAAATGGTAAGTTTTTGTCCCACCCAAAAACTGCAAATTTTTGTCACACTCAAAAGTGGCAATTTTTTCTCCGAGCCAAAAACTGCAAATTTTTGTCCCACACAAAATTTGCAATTTTTTCCTGCCCAAAACCTAACACTCAAAAATAGCAATATTTTGTGCCACTAAAAAATAGTAATTTTTTATCTCACCCAAACAGTGCAAAAAAATAAAATAAAAACTCCTACAAAAGTGCAATTTTTTGTCCCATCCAAAATCTGCAAATTTTGTCCCACACAAAAAAAAAATTACAATTTTTTGTGCTACCAAAAAACTGCAAATTTTTGTTACACTCAAAAATAGCAATATTTTGTGGCGTGTGTAAAATTGTAATTTTTTGTCCTACTAAAAAACTGAAATTTTTTGTTACACTCAAAAATAGCAATATTTTGTGCCATGTAAAATTGCAACTTTTTATGCCGCCCAAAAACCGCAAAAATACTTTTATTAAAAAAAAGCAATTTTTGTCCCACCAAAAACAGTAATTATTTTATCCCACTAAAAAATTGCAATTTTTGATCCTATCTGTCATGTCCCATCATGTTTAAAAATACACAACCTAAAAAATACGAGATTTCTTACTCCATGTTTGAAATAACAGCTTGAGCTCGATGCGCCATTGCTATTCCATCACCAGTAGCTACCTGTAAAATTTACCAAAAGATTAATCATGTAACATGACAATTGACATGTCGCTCATTTATTTACATGAATCTTTGACATTTAAAGAATTAATGATTATTTGAAATAACTCTATTAAATGAGATAAACATACGGGTGGATTTGTAGTAGATGGATAAATATGCCCTGCACCTCCAGAAGCAAGCAAAGTCACCTTTGAAATAAACCGAACCACTTTTTGTGTTTCTGTATTTATAGTATCAACACCATGGCAAATCATGTCTAATCCATCCTACAAAACCATGTAATAAACATAATCATATGAGGTCATTTATAAATATAGGCCATGTATTAGAATTTGTTATGAAGCAAACCTGAGAAGTCAATAAGTCAATTGCAAAATGATGTTTGAAAACCGAAATATTTGGATCCTTTTCAATTGCTTTTAGAAGTGCCCTTTCGATTTCTCTTCCTGTCATATCAGCTGCATGAACTATTCTATGATGTGAATGACCACCTTCTCTTGCTAAATGCAAATTTCCATCTTCTCCATGATCAAAAGATGCCCCCATTGCTATCAACTCCCTAATTCTCTCAGGTCCTTCTGTACACACCACCTGCACATTTTTTTATAACTTTTATAAAAATGATTGATGAATAAGTATAGTTTCTTCATTAAGTTAGAAAAAGATAGGGATATGGGCACTTACTCTGACAGTTTCTTCATCGCATAAATAAGCTCCTGCTACAATTGTATCTTGCATGTGACTTTCTACAGAGTCTGAAGGACATAACACAGCACTAACACCACCTTGTGCATAATTTGTATTGCTTTCATGAGGTTCTGCTTTTGTTATTACAGCAACACTTCCATGTTTTGCAACTTCAAGAGCATATCGAAGACCAGCTACCCCACTACCAATAACAGCAAAATCAAAATACGTTGTGGATTCGTTCTTCATGCATGATGTTACAACTGTTTGAAAGGGTCTTTGGGTTTCAGGAATTGGATGATGATGATGATATTTCTTGATTTTTAAGTTGTTAGACACCCCATCTGACCTACAAACATATAATAGAAACACGTAATTCAAATGTATGTAGCAGAATCATTGTAGTTTGTGACAGATAGTAGATAAATTTCAACGAATTTAACTTGAAATTTGTTGATAAGTTAAAATGTACCATGGAAACTTGTTAGAGCATCTCTGCGACACCACTGGAGAGAAAGAAGTCTGTCGCCAGCAGCGTGTCTCCCGGAATTGTAGATTGGCACTTCCCGAAGCTATACTGGTTGCCATTTTTCTGCTACGATTATAACAACCATCAAACAGGAATCAGGATGATTTCTATCAACAATGCACGCAGACTTTTCATGAAGAGTGAGACATCAAATCGGATTTATAACAATTCCAAACACAGATCAACAAGAAAAATGATCAAGGGTCGAAAGATCGAAAGATCTTAGAGAGCAAAGACAACATACATGATAGCAGAGGTAACAACAAGAGTTTGACTACTTTGATGATAACAATTGTGCAGTTAATGGAGTAGGAATATGAAATTTTGCAACTTGAAGAAGATTTATGCAGCAGCCTCTTTCTATTTGGTTTCAACAAAAATGAAACAACGAGGCGCCTTCCGTTATTTGGGGATTAGGGTTTTTGGAAATTTCGAGGCAATTGCACAGCAAGAAATCGTATGGAAGATTGGGAATGGAAATGATGAAAACTTACTACAAGGAATCGAGAATTTGAAGCCCACAGAATGAAGCTGGTGTAGTGGGAAGCAGAGGATGGGTAATATTGGAAAACAAAATTAAATAAAAGAATAAAAATTGACTTTTCGTCATCACATATATTCACAAGCAAAGTTGTGTTTTGTATCCACAAGATATACAATTGGCACGTAGCCCGAAGTAGTTTTGACGCAACAACTTTGTGACCATAAATGGATACACAAAGAACTTGCACTCGGGTAACACCTTTTTGTTGGATCCAAAAATGAACCCACAACTCAATATTTTGTATACCACAAAGGCACAAACATTCAACACTCAAAACTAAACTTTAATAATTTATTTATTTTCAAGTTAATTACTAAAACGGATGAGCAAAATATCCATAGAAACCAAATTAGAGTCGAAACGGACTGGAAACCTAATATGTAATTCGGTTTGGTTCTTGATTCCTTCATATCTATAAATTTGGTTCTCAGGTTTTTGGTTCGGTCCGATTATGGACCCTAACAACTAGGAGTGGGCAAAATACTCGTTGAAACCGAACCAAAAGGAGAACCAAATATGTAATTCGATTTGGTTCTCGGTTCCTTCATATTCATAAATTTGGTTCTTGATTTCTTTGTTCTGTTATAGAACCAAGATCACCTCTAATCGTCCACGTGGTTGATTACGCTAATTTTTGGTACGTATTTAATTGTATTAAATGTGTTGAATTGATTTGTGCTTGCCAAATAATGAGATTACTCTGATGAATTGTTGAACATTATGTGAAGGTAATCATATATGACTAAAAGTTGGCAAAAAATGCAAGCAAAATGGGTTATTTAAGTCGAACATGGTTCAGTCGTTCTTTATGGTGTCAAAGACATCCCCAAGGAAGCCCTAGTCAAATCACTCAACATTTTGCCAAATCTAAAGTTGAAAAAAAAGGCGAATATGGTCAGCATCCTTGATGATATCAATGATCCACTAAAGGACGCATGGACATTATTGCCCTATCTCGTGCAAGGTTGTAAAAATCGCTCGACGACAGCTCGACGGTCGACTGATGTTAAGGGATTAATCGGTCTTGGCGGGGATTAATCGTGGACCATAGATTATTAATAAAATATTAAAATTAATCAAATATTAATATATTTTAAGAAAAAAAAGTACTTCAAAATTAGAAAAATTAGAAAATTTGTAATTTGAAAACTTGAAAATACGAAAATATGAACATTTTGGTATAATATTTGAAATTTGAAAATTTGAAAATATTGGAGTAAAAAAAGAAGTTGATTTTTTTGAGTTTTTTTAAAAATTTTTGACCTTTTTTTTGACTTTTTTTATATTTTTGTTGACTTTTGTTGACCGATTAATCCCGCCAAGCCTGATTAATCCTAAATTTCCGATTAATACCCTAATCCTCGACGGTTGGAGAACGCCAAGCGATTAATCCACGATTAATCGCCGATTAATCCCGATTTCTTCAACCATGATCTCGTGTTGTAATGATACTCACAAGAAAACGTTGAAAACCTTGAAAGACACCACTTAAGCGTCAAGGACGTCCCCAAGGATGTCTGCACCTTTTAGGCCATTTTCCTGTGTAAATGAAGGATGACATATATCCTTTAAAACGTCCTCAAGGACGCCTAGGCGTCCTTTACGACATCTAGTTAGTCCCCAAGGACATATGACATTCCATATTGCCTGGTTTTAATTCATTTGAGGTGCAGTATACATAAAGACCTAATGCAACCATTTTTAGGGTTCCCACTTCCAAAGTTCTATGTTTCTACCTTCATTTTTTTAATCTTCCAAACCCTTGGAAACACTTTACAACACCTTTCCATTCCATCTCGAAACCGAATTGAATGTGATATTTAATCGATGTTTGTTTAAGGAATGAACATCATTGATGACCTTTTTGTTATGAACTCTATATTTGGGCCAAAACGGTTAAAAAGGAATTTTGATTTTTAAAACGTTTTTACACAAGAAATTCGACTCTTTAAATTGTGTATTTTGGATTTGATTTTACAATAAATGAATTTTGGAAGCAAAAGAGAAATGGGACTAGAGGCTATCTTTCTTCTAGAAAGGCTGTGGTTTTGGTGAATAGTTCCCCGACAAAAGAATCCATTATTGTAAGAAGTGTTTGAAAAGTTGATCTACTTTTACCCTTCATTTTCTTTATTTAAGTGGAACGTCTTAATGTTTCGGTGAAGGCAACGTGTGATAATTTTATTTATTAGGGGATTAAAGGAACGTCTTAATGTTTCGTATTTATGCATAAAATATTTCTTGTTGATAATAAGCCCATTAAAAAAAACCAATCAAAGGAACTTGGCTAGCTCAATATTAGCAAAGCGGTGTGCGGACTTGTTGAAAATTGGAATTTCACTCAACGGTTTATTTAAAAGGAATGTGGGGGGGGAGGGGGGTGGAAATATCATTTTTCTAGAAGGATGTATAGTTATTAGATCTAGATCTAAAAATAAGTTTTTCCAGTTACACATAATGGAGGTTTAAAAGGAGTGTTTAATTTTACAAAAGGTTGTTGTTGTTATGTAATTTCCAAGGTGGTGGAAAAGAGATATTAGAGATTATATGGAATCGAGGGATATGGTTGAGTTAATTTCGATGGTTAGAAGTTATAGGATCTCCAATGAATCAGATGGATGGAAATGGTTAGGTGATCAATCTCGTGCGTTCTTTAAGTGTTCCTTAATGAAAATTATTTTGGCATACATTACAATAGTGATTGAGAGGGTGTTTGAGAATACTTTTTAAATGACTTTTGCCATTTAACTTTTCTAAAAAGTTAAAAAGATGTTTGGAAGATGCAAAAGTTTTTTTCAAAATAACTTTTTCTAAAGAAGAAAAGAGTGAGTTTTCAAAAGTCAAGAAAGTGTGACTTTTTGTAACTTTTGAACTTTTAAAGCTAAATCACACTCAAAAGTCAAAAAATACTACCCAAACACTTTTTAAAAACAACTTTTGGCTTTTGCTTCATCAATGGAGTTTGATCTTTAAATTGATAGAGAATCAGATAATCAGAGAGAATGAACAATACCGTTTGATTTTTGAATCGACGTTCAGACTTGTGACTTCAGACTCACTGATGGACTGATGAGAATCGATCTTTTGAACAATCAAGAATCAAGAATCGATTTTTTGATTTTTTTAACAATCCAAATGATCACACTTAAGAGCTCAGAGATCCACCGGGAAAAAGAAGAATGGAGAAGACAAGAAGAAGAACCGTCGGTCGGCTTGGCAAAAGAGTTTCTCAGTTTCAATCGTGCGTGGGATGGGAGAATCCGAAATCAGCAACAAAATTTAATTAATGGACTTTTGGGCTAAGGGGCCCCTTAAAAATGGGGGCCCTAAGCCCTTGCTTACTTTGTATACATGTAAAGCCGGCCCTGTTCAAATGGATTAATTGGTTACCTCTAAAGGCCACTTTCATGGAGATTTTTGGGAAATAAAATTTCATTGTCTCGAAATCTGGCTACTATCACTACAAGAAAAGGGGTATCAGAGACTATTAGTCTTTGATGATCCATAATCAGTGATGAGAATCAATGACTGATTTAGCTAGTCCCTAACTATTCTTCGAGACCTAGGCTTAGATAGTCGATTTTTTATGTGTAGTTATGAGACCCGTATACTATACGGATTGGGTAAAACAAAAAGTTAAATATGAAGATTTAAACAAAAATTTATTTAAATTTGAAATTTTAGATTTGAAATTTAAAATTTAAAATTAAAAATTTGAATTTAAAAGGAAACATATTAAATACAATATATGAGTAGTAATATTGTAATTTATTAACTATTTTCAATTAAGGCAATTATTATGTGAGGTGTAAATGTCATGTGTTAATTAAGAAAAGATAAAAATTGACAAATTGACAAATGGAAAAACATTTACTCAAAAATATTAGAAAATACCATGCATCCAAATGAAGGAGATAAAGACATGTGGCAAAAAGATTTTGATTTATTAGAGATGATTTGGGAGTGAAAATTAGTCCATGATACAATAAAGTATCAAAGTTAGAAAATCAGTCTTTGATAATATCTCATTTAGTCTCTAATTTTTTTCTTCAAATCCTCAATTTGATTTCATATCAGTCCCTAATGTTATCTTTTAAGTACTGATATTATCTTTTAGGTACTGAATATCATCCATTTATATGTTATCTTTTATGTACTGATATTATCTTTTACGTACCGAATATCATCCATTTATAATATATCATTCAGTCTTAAATATGCTTCATTAAAATATCTATTTTTTTGTTGTATCACTCCCTGATACTATATTTCAAGAACTAAATATTAATCTTTGATCATACCATGTCTAGTCCAATATCTATCATTCAATGCCCCACTTATATCATATTTGTCCTTGATACTATCATTTTGGGACTAAATGTTAGTCTTCGATACTATCTATTTTAGTCTTTAATATTATTTTTCAGTGACTTAATACCAATCTTGGATCCAATGTTATTCGGTCTCTAACCTAGTTTTTTAATGACTGCTAGCCTCGGATACAATGCCATTCATTCTCTAACTTGGTTTTTCAGGAATAGTATATTAGGCTCAGATACAATGTCATTCAGTCCCTAAAAGAACATCATCCGGTCTTAGATACAATGTCATTCCATGACTGAGTATTAGTCTCAAATACATCGTCATTCGGTCTCAATTGTGTTTCTTTTAGGACTGCTTAAAGTGTACATATAACATCATTCGGTCTTTTAACTTTTGTTTAGTAGGACTAATATTCGGTCCTTGATACAAACTTTTAGTATTAATAATCAGTTGCAAATGCTACAATTTAAGACTAAATTTTAGTCTAAAACTAGCATTTATAGTGACTAAAATATACAATGGATTTTTCATTAATAAACAAAATGTACTAATCCAGTCTTATATACAATGTCATTCCATGACTGAGTATTAGTCTCAAATATATCAACATTTGGTCTCGATTATGTTTCTTTTAGGATTACATAAAATGTACTCATATAACATCATTCGGTCTTTTAGCTTTTGTTTAGTAGGACTAATATTCGGTCCTTAATACAAACTTTTAGTATTAATAATCAGTTGCA